CCCAAAAAGACACCGTGACTGTGGGCTATCCTATTGCGTGCTAATTGTAGCATATGCTCCATTCTGATGGTTGAGATTTTGAGAGACGCGATTTTTGACCTAATGTGTGCTTGAATAATCATGCAGAGTAGGTGAAACGGCACCTCATCTCTTTATAAAAAGGACTTGTTTCCTTCAATTTGCAGCACGCAAGACGTTTTCTAACTTTCCAAAGTGTTTTGTAAGAACTTTCTACTTTTAGAAAGAGGCAACTCTGGTGGGCTAGATGTCGCAGTAATGTGCATTGGTATATGGGAGATAGTTTCCTCAATCCTCTGCTTCCGTGTATCCCGAGGCCAAATTTTCCTAGTAGAAATTTAGGTGCACACTGATTCCTATCAGTAAGGGGCTACTTTTGTCTTAAGAAAGCGATCTATTGCACCTAGGGTCAAAGAGATTTAAACTTATTTTGTGTCATTTATAATTTATTTTTACCTTGTTTCACCCTCCGTTTTTCAACACTCGATCCTTGCCTAAGCCAAGTGACTTGGGCAATTTGGCTCAGACTTGCTTGAGTCATACCCGAGCTATGGGCAAGGACAAAAAAAGGCTCCTAAAACTATAAAAATTCTGAAAAATCCTAAGTCATCAACATCATCATCATCATAGCCTTTTACCAATTAATTAGCTAGGCTATACGAATCTTGCTTCGCCATTCTGCTCTATTAAAGGTCATACTCTCATTGAGACTATAAGTCCTCATATCTTTTCGTACTACTTCTAACCACGTCCTTTTGGGCCTAGCCCTTACCTTTTTCAGTCATTCCACTTGAACTAACTCGCACCTCCTAATAGGTGCTATACTTGGTTGGCACCACACATGGCCCGCCTTCTTAAGTCTACTCTCTCTCATCGTATTGCCTATTGGCGCCACACGTAAATTCTCTTACATGCGTCTATTTCGAATTCTATCCCTTCTTGTCTTCTCATTCATCCATCTCAACATCCTCATCTCTGCTACACTCATTTTATGGGTATATTATTTTTTGTCCACCTAATATTTCGCCCTATAGAGCAGAGTTGGTCTCACAACTGTACTATAGAACTTTTCCCTTCAGCTTTATTGGTATGCGACGGTCACGTAAAATTCCAGATGCACATCTCCACTTCATCTACCCAGCTCTAATTCTATGTGCGACATGTTCCTCATTTTCTCCTTTTTCCTGGATTATTGAGCCAAGATATAGAAAGTGCGGTCTTTTTAGTGCTTTCTGGCCGTCGATCTTAACTACTTCCTCATCTCTACTCTTGTTATTATTAAACTTGCATTACATATACTCTGTCTTAGTCTGACTAATTTTAAAACCTTTGGATTCTAGAGCATCCCTTCAAAGTTCTAGCTTTGTGTCGACGTCGTTTCGGGTCTCATCGATCAAAGCTATGTCATTTGCGAACAACATGCACCACGGTAACTCATCCTCTAGGTTCCTACTTAAGTCGTCCATAACTAAGACAGAGGTACGGGCTCAATGCTGACCCTTGAAATAGACCTATTGTCACTGAAACTTACTCGTCTCTCCACTAGTTGTTCGTACACTAGGTAACGTTCCATCGTAGATATCTCTCACCAAGTTGATGTACTCCTTTCTTTTCCATTACCCGCCAAATCAAATCTTGAGGTACTCTATCATAAGTTCTCTCTAGATCAATAAAGACCATGTGGAAGTCTTTTCCCTTCTTCCTAAACTTTTCAATCAGTTGTTTGAGTAGCAAACTAGCCTCAGTTGTTGACCTTCCTGGCATAAAACCAAATTGATTTTCAGATACGTTCGTTTCATGTCCTAATCGTTGTTCAATCACTCTCCCAGAGCTTCGTTGTATGGCTTATAAGCTTGGTCCCCTGATAGTTCGTGCAATTATGCATATCTCATTTGTTTTTGTAAATAGGTACTGTTGTAGGTTCAGGATTCATGATAAGTTTTGGCAAAATTTTATGTTGGCTGCCTACCTAACACAACCTAGCCCCTTAACCTGGGACATGTTAAGGGAAAGTTTAAGATCATCACCCTTCTTAGACCTTGAAAAATCCTAAATATAAAAAAATAAGTAAAAATCTAAAATATGATACAATAAAAAATATAAATAAATCGTGAAACATGAAAAATGGATGTTATTGGCTTGAAAGATAATTGAGAAAATCCGAAAATATGTCAAAGAGAAGAAAAAATATAAACATAGGTAAACATTGTAAATAAATTAAAAATAAGTTTACTATAAATCAGTTATAGTTGACTTAGTTAATAAAAATACAATATATGAATTTAATTTGAGAAAAAATGAAATTTATCCAGAATTTTTGAGGCCAACCACCCAATATCCGCACTTGGTGGTAATCAACGTCTGGTCCTTGTCAAAGCTTCCAAATACAACCAAAATCAAAACCCACAAAATAATATTGGGTTTTGAGTTCAGATCTAGGAGACTCGAGCTCCTGAATTTTTTTTATAAAATAGTAATCCTGATTTCAAATATCCTAAATCCTAATTTTTGAGTCTTTTGTGAAAATAAACCTATAGTTAGATAAAGAGCACAAAATGGTTAGGGATCAAATTTCATCAAAGATCGACCATCGGTCTTTGATAACCTCAGTCATAGATGACCCCCAGTTGTGCAAAACATTTTTCTTTTAATTGTTAATACAGATGACAAATCTCAGTGTGAGGAAAGTCCTTTCTTTGGTAGAAAATAGAAAACATACGTATTGATGAGCCTGGATTTGGAAGCGTGACCTAGAGCTTGACAAGGTCTCCATATGACTGGATATGAAATAGAATTTGCAGGAGGCTTGTAGAAAAACCTCACATTGAAACCTGGATTTATCATCTTTCATGTGATGATAACAACTTTTCTAGGATACTAGGACCAGCTGAAAATAGATGTAATTTCTTCTAGTTGTAACTTAATTTATGCATCCTATCAATCAAAAATTAATTATGAATGGCGATCCTCATAGTTACTTAGAGTAGTGTCTGAGTATCCTTTGCTCTTGAATAGGGGCATGCCGTAGTTGTTTAGCTTAGATTGGGAGAAGTATTGGTTTTTGTGATCTATTTGTTTTTTGGGCAGCCTTTGTCCAAGGTGGACAAAATAATTGATGACACTTTGGTCGCTTATGAATGCACTAGTTGAAAATACATGCAAAAGATGGTTGGGAAGGGATCACATGTTATAGATATGGAATGCACATCACCATGTGGATTAGCATTGCCAATCTAAGTGATGGACCATTGGCTTTGCATGGATAGAGGAAATGGAGAATGGCATGCATTTCCTCGATATTGTTTCAGTTATGGGTAAATGCTTATTGGAACCTCTATGTTTTTATGGTATTTGTACGAAGGTGCTCTGATAAGTGTGGTCCATGATTATGTTAACTAACATAGCAGATGTGCAAGTAGTTTCCAGTCCAAAGTTCATTTTATAAAGAGTTGATAAAAAATATCTTTATGAGAAACATTGTGTCCTTGAATGAAATTAGTATGGGCATACCTTTGAAATTTCACTAAGTGGCCACCATTTCTCCAAACATTTGATTCAAATATATCTAGGTGGATTCTCTAGAAAGATAGGTGAAGGATAGCCCTATAAATGCAAGTTGATCTTCAATATATCATGATGACACCCTTAACTCTTTTCGAAGTCTTCATGCAAATGTTGTTTAGATGGATTTTTACTTGTAAGAAATTGATTTTCAAAGTAGCAAACTGGGCACATCCTTGGTGAGAACTTTGGGGTTCAAGCATTTGTGAAGTGGTTCTCTAGTAGACTAATTTTTAACTTAATCAGTTGACACCCACTCTTCTTCAAACTTTCCCTGTGATTTCCCCCAGATATAAAATCTTTGTGCACAAAGATTCAATGAAAACCTCAAGGAAATATACATTCACATGTTTAGAATGTTCAATAATTGATATTGAGATGATTTTGAGTTCTAGTATTATTTTTTAAAGTGAAAAATAGGCAAAAAAAAAAAGTGCCTATTTATATAGAGCCGAGGCTCTAAACAATAAAATTAGAGTCCACCTCAAAAATTTCACTAGAAGAGGTTGTTTTGATGCCCACATATCCTCAAATTGATCATCTCGACATCAAGATGCATGGACGTGAGAAAAAAATGAATTTCAAGTTTTGAAAATAGTGCATCTTGTAACGCATTTTTGGACCGTCAATTTTCAAGATTTTCAAGTTTTCATAGATCTCTCAATCTACACTATTTTGTAAGCTTTAAATTTTATAATTAAAGATGAAAATATATTTAAGCTTACCACAAAGATTTCTGGTATTGAAACCACATTTCTCGACACTATTTGAAGGTGGGCTCTAATTCGATTGTTTAGAGCCTCGGCTCTATACAAACCACACCCTTCTTTTTCAGATTATCTCTTTTGTAATGGTTTTTCTAATGTTTCTTCTGCTTGCCATATTGGCTTTTTTGACTAGAAACATATAGTCCTATCTGTTCTACAAGATTGATGGATTAATTACATTAGTCTCTGGTAGGTCCTTGCTTACGCTGAATATGATACACTGTCATGGAAAAATAGCAGTTTTCTTATGCTGGTTCTATTCTTAGTGGTTAACCCATCTCATTACATACATGCTATGAAAGTTTATTTTTTGCCATTTCTCCTGCACTTTTGACTATCATGGTAGCAGCCCATATGAGAGGTTACTTTACAATCTTAATATGGTAGCAATTATGTAGCACTTGGCCTTCATGCTGGTAAATAAAATTGTTTCAACCTTGACATTTTCTTTGTAATCGCTAATTAGAATATTGGTAATTTTGGTCTATTTAAGTTGGTTCTAACATATGCTAATTATGTGTTCCATGGTCAAGTGTTCCTTATACTGTTATTTGATCAATTTTATTAATTTTCTATAAAGATTGAAGCACATTTCTATGACTTAGTGGATTATTCTACTCCGGGCTGACATGGCTAATTTTTTAATGTCTTAAGGTGCTAAGGGCATATGCAATCAACAAAGCATGGGTCACAGGTCTTCTTATTGATATAATTGGGGCTTTGTTAATGCTGAGGGCCTTATCTCAAGCACCTGTTAGTGAGCTCACATTTTATCCTCTTTTAAATGCAGTAGTAATTCTCCTGCTTTAATGTTATCAGCCAATTGTAGGCCAAACAGTTGTATTGATTCTGCTACTGATAACATTTCTTCTTTTTGTCGAATTGTTGATATCAATCCTATCCATGCAATTGATACTGAGCAGATCACTGGAAACATAACAAGCACCTGATATGCACAAGTAAAAGCAGATTGATAGAATGCAGTACCAAGTAGCATAATATTTGAATCCTTTGTAATAAGTTTCATCTAGCAAAACTTTCCTCTAATATTTGAGATAGGTAGGCTTAGTTTATTGACATCCTAAAGTTGGAAAATAGATTTGGCTTTGTTCTTTATTTTGTCGTTGTTCTTTAATTGACCCTGACGATAGTTCTATGATTAAATTATTCTTGAAATGTGTCACTTCTGTTTAATTTTGTAAGAAAGCTGCCTTTTATTAGTGGTTCTTGTCCAAATGTTGGCATGACAAGCTTCAAAAGGTTTTGTTATTTTTATCGTTATAAAAAATAACCAAGTGGAACATGAGCCCTGATCTGAGAACAGAATGCATATATTTTTGTAGTGCTGCAATTTCTAGCAAAAAATTGGAAAGATTGTACCAGACAACGATCAATCTTTCATTGACCACATTGAATGGGTGACCCTTCGCCATTAGGGAAGATGCGAAGCAGGGGAACTAGAAGAGAAGTAGGGGAGAGAGATGGAAGAAGATGATAAAGGTCACAAAAGGAGGCATCACTTGAGCTTACTCTAGAGTGTGCCCTTCTATTAACATGGAATGGGTGACCTTTTGCCATTTGGTGTCTGAAATTAGCTAGGTAACATCTGGAAACCATGAGGATTGCATGAGAATCAGCCTTGGTTGGGTTGTGTACCATTCTAGATCCAAGAAAAATGTATTTCATGGTCCAAAAGCAGTCCCTAAGGATATCACCAGCTGCGTTTGGGATCTTTCCCCACTGACTGTTGGAGTTTGTTTTGAATAATTGAGAAATGGAGAGAAATAATTTCTAGGTGGATGAAAGGGCTGGGTGTTTATGCAAGATATGATTTGCCTTAGTTTAAAATGACATGGGATTGGCTATATTTTGCAAATTTGGAAATCATTAAGTTAAATAAAGTGATAGGGAGTTGGCAGTCCCTAATAGATAATATGTAAGGTGATTGGCAGCCAACGCTATGGGCAGGAGACAATGGAGAGAATCTGTAAATAGAGAGGCTAAAATTCCCAGCATAGAACTTCAGAACCGTTTGCTTGTTCAATTGTGAAAACCTATTCGTGATAGGGAAATCTGGTTAAAGGAGGTCTTACATGTGTTACCTTCACTAGTTTTTGATGAAGATTCTGTACGAGAGTATAATTATAAGAGGCTCTTAGTCAGAAAGATGCATCTTAGGCGGCTTTGTGTATCCTATGGTGCCTTGAAGAGTGTACGATTGCATCATATTTTGTAATAACACAAAGGGAAGCGGTGTTATCAAGTAGTGATGTATTGGTTCTTAGAGTTGTCTTCCTGCAATGAGGTTTTGGACTTTCCACTGTCTGGCTTATTTCACATGTTTAATAGTTGAAAAAATCCCATGGTGCCTTGATTATATAGGTTTTCTATCATTTTGGTTTTGGAATTGGTCATGGGCCTATGGCTCAATTGATTTTGATCACATGATGGGAGGCATCTTTTAAAGTAGAGAAGCAGGCAGTTTTCAGCTTTTTAAATATGTAAATGCTGGATCAATAAGCAGCAGTTTTCAGCTTTTTAAAGAACTAAATACTGTACCAATACAAAGAAATGGTAGTTTTGAATTTGTGGTGGGGAAATTTTTTTTTTATATGAATAAGTGAAAAATAACTAAGTGAAAGAAAGCAACTATGAAGAGAATGTAGAGGACAAATAGATTGACACTTTTTTCCATGTGGAAATTAGTGGATTCGCAAAATCACAAATAGTGGGATACTTTTCTCTGCGAGGAAATTAGTTTGAATAGAAGTTTGAGGTGAGTTAGTGGAGAGCACTATGTTTATTAGGTGCTTCCGCTGAGTTAGGGCTTGGGTGAAGCAATTGATGCTTGTTCTCTAATTTCCAATCCAATTAAGAATGTGCAAGGACTTGTGTTGGACAAAAATGAGCTTGGGTTTAGAGGTCGAGTGTTTTTTCTTCGTTTCTTCTTTTTTCTTTTTTAGTTTTTTCCAGGGTTGGGGGGGAGGGGGGGGGGAGGAAGTTGGTCGCTGGGGATGCTTTGGAATCGATTCAGTTGTTAATAAGGTGCTAGATTGAAATGCAACTTGTAGCTCTTATCATGGCTTATGGACTTTTCTAGAGATGACTTGAGCCATGGTCTTGAGAGCTTTTGAATAATTCCATTACTACTTTTGGATAGACCTATGCATATTTTATTTTCTTAATTCCAATATTGAATCGTAATTTATGTGGTCCTTGTCCAGAATTTTTATTCAAGGATGTCAGATCCTGGATCGAGCTCTCATACATTTGAGATATAGGTTTAAGGCCCTAAGTTCCTTGTGAAGCTGATCTCCATAGACATGTTATTGTGTATATTAACTTTTTTTGTTATAAAATGGGAAGGATGTGTTGACATTTGTTGAATGTGTGGATAACAGTGTATGCAAGAACTCCCTGTTCTTCATTGTGATTTATAATCTAAGCACTAGGTGGTGGAATTTAACTAATGAGAAAATAGACTTATTTTGGGATAAATTAGTTAAAGAAGGAAAATAGAATTCTGAACATGAGGTCAATGTTATGTATAATGAGATGGCTGACTGTATTAAGAAAGTGGCAAAAGAAGTTTTAGGAGAATCTAGAGGTTTTGCATAGATTATCATATGCCTTAAGTTTAGCGTTACTATTTGTTTAGCGTTTTTTTTAGCAATTTGTCTATTCTTCTAAGTTTTTATCATTCTATTACACTGCCAAGTTTTATGACATGATCATTTTTTGCTAATGGCCTTGTGAACGAAATTTCTTTTAATTGGGAACAAGAAAAGGTGAAAAACATATCTTCAACTTAGCAAAAGTTAGAGAGGAAAAGTGTAGGGATCTAGATCATATTAATTGCAGTAAGTGTCAGGATCAAAGGTTCTTGATGAAGGATGAAGAGGTCAACGAATGGTGGAAAGCTTATTTTAAAAAAATATTAAATGACGTACACAATGGGAACATAGCGGTACAAGGAACTGTTGGCATAAATATGGGCAGGGGTCATAGATATGTTCGTAGGATAGGGATATCAAAAGTGAAAGAAGCTTTGAAAGGATGAAAATAGGAAAGGCTTTAGGACCAGATGGTATCCTGATAGAGGTTTGGAAGTACGTGGGGGAGATTGGCATTGACTGGCTAACCAAACTGTTCAACAAGGTGGTGAGAACAAAGAAAATACTAAACGAATGGAGGAAAAGTATTGTGATACCTATTTACAAGAACAAAAGAGACATACAAAATTGTGCGAACTATTAAGGGATCAAACTTATGAGCCACACTATGAAGCTGTGGGAGAGAGTGATTGAGCAACGACTAAGGTATGATATGAGTGGATCAAAAAACCAATTCAGTTTTATGCTAGGGAGGTCAACAACCGACGCTATTTTCCTACTTAAGCAACTGATTGAGAAGTTTAGAGCGAAAGGAAAAACCACCATATGGTCTTTATTGATTAAGAGAAAGCTGATGATAAAGTACCTCGAGATTTGATTTGGTAGGTGGTGGAAAGGGAAGGAGTCTCCAAACATTACATCGACTTGGTGAGAGATGTGTTGGGTGAATGTGGCCATTAAAGGCCTTATGAGCCCTTGTAAAATGAAATTATATAGTGGAACATGAACTCAGTGGGAGTGTGGTCCCTTGTGGACTATACTAAGCAAACAATGTTTGCTGATGCTAGACTGTGCTTGACGTGCTAGGTCGGTCTGGTTGGAGAAAACCCATGTTACTTGGGCTAAAAGAAACAAATGATGAGGGTTTTATGGGTTATCCCTTGATGAAATTGGAGTATGCTTGGATGAGTGAGCCGAGGGGCTGTGTGACCCTTGTGTGTGATGGAGGCCTTCAGAGGTGGGGCCAAAGCTTCATCATTTGTACCATCACACGGTATGCACACCGATAGCCGTTTATGAGAAAGCGTACCGCTTTTCAGGGTGAAGCGTGTGCATGTGTGAGAGATACCCCTTGTGCATCATTGAGCTATGGATTTCATCAAGTCAGGATGACCTTGGTTTTGTCTCTAGGGGAGACCTGAAATCCATATACTGAGACTACGACTCCTTGCCCATTGGCTAGACTTTGTTGACCCACTAGTGATCCCCTGTATTGACTGTGGGTCATAGGCAACATTGGGTCGGTTTGAGAAAGCAAGTGTGGTTCGCAGTTCACGGTTGGACATGGAGTTCCCCAGTGGATATTTAGTCCTAGACCGTATGGATCATTTTCCCATCAAAATATTTAATTTTGTTTATTTTAATAATATTTGATTTTTAGAATTGGTATATGAATTTTTTCTAAATCTCTGAATATTTTATTTATCAAATTTGGATTTATAAAAACAGAGATATTAATTTTATAATGATTTAATTTATTTATTTTTTTGAGAGAAAGTTAACATTGTATTGCTGGGGAGAATGATTACATGGATGTGAGGGTCTGAAGTCACCCACACGGGGTGACTCGGTGAAAAATGTGTTTAGTCTATCATGTACAAAACGGGCTTATAGAAAAAACATTGATTTACATGGAGTTTGCAAAGAAACTCCAGCAGGGCAAAATAATGCCAATAGAGAAGGAGTTTTAGGTTATGTGCCAATAGTCCAGAGCGAAAAAGTAGTCGGACCCGGCTTGAGCTTGTCCTTGGCTTCTAGTTCCTTCTTTCGCCAAGAGATCTACGGAGTCGTTGGACGTCCTCCATATATGCTTCCAGGAGATGTCCATAGCCCTGTAAATGTGATCAATTTCGTCAAAAA